CTTCTTTGCAATATTTAAATTAAGGTGACATTACTTTGATATACACACAACTTACCAATGTTTATGCATGTATTAAGTGAAAGAATTATCTGCCACAATGAACAAAGGTGAAGGGTGACAAGAGATTGGTGTGTACGCAGGTTAATTTAAAGAGATAATAAATAGGAAGCAATTTTCAGTCATTGTCTTGATCTCCTGCTGCTAGTAACATTTCTAGGAAGCTTAGAAATGTACCCACTTGGCCATGTCTGCACCCTAACACATATGCCAATACCTACATTGATAAGTTTACAACAATCAGCGCAAGATTGTGATAAGTCAATAATTGTTTTCCTAGCAGTTTTCATGAAGCCTTCATTCTAAGGCAGCCTATGGTAACCACCAGTACCACAAAGACAGATCTCCAGATACCACATAGGCGATGAAGAGTACCCTCTAGAACCTGATGTTATCCTCGCATGTCAGTTGAGTACAGGAACAGGTACTGTCACTCCAAACAAAGTGCACATTTACAGGCATTTTGAAATAGTGCCTCAAATGTTCCAGAAATGTCCTGCAATTCACCTCACAGGATGCTGCATGGTAAATGTTACATACCGCATATTGCGCAGCTGAAACCAAAACATTAACAGTTATCTTTTGTCTTTCCAGAAGTAATAAAAACTCTATACCTAAAATATTTACTTATTTTGTACCTTTCAGGTCCTGATGAATCTGTGAATACTCTCAGCATCATGTTTTTAATTCAGGTATACCCATTGTAAAATTAGACCTTGGCTCCAAATCTTTATATTAGGATTCAGCACTTGTTGCATTACTTAAATATTTTCTTCTTGTCCTGTGACATGGCTCATCAAGATATATAAGGTCGGAGAAATAATATGAAATTCTAGATTGCATTTTATGGTCAAAACAACAACATTTCCTGATGCCGTCCAATCTATACATTAAATATAAATTTAAGATGTTATAATATCTTCAACATTGAGCTTGAGACAGAAATACAAGCTCACTTTATTGCCACCAGCTAAGAGGAATGCCATCAATTAATTTATCACTGCAACCAACAAGAGATGACCTTGATTAAAATGACATGAAGTTCTTAGATGCAATAAATGATAACATTCAAGAACAAAGAGAATTTTTGTTTTGAAAATCATTATTCTTATTTTACATAAAGTCTATGCTTCACAGTTTACTTAGAACAAACATATGCTTAGACATTCTTAAAGTTTGGTTTTGAAATTCCATCATAAATCCACAAAGAGTCAACAAAGTAAAGCATCAATCATTGAACTTGAGGTTCCCAAGAGTACAAAGGTGTTCTGTGACACACAAAAATCAAAATTTCCTCAAGAAAGTTAAGAAAATAGGAACAGATAATTTTTGGTTGTAGAGCCATCCAGTAAAGGTGTCTGTGTGTTGTGCAACCACAACATTGTACAATATCATAGTGTAAGGCATTAATAAGGCAAACATTTGTGAATAGCTCAAACAATCTGAAAAATTAACTTACATTTGTAATTTACGATTGACAAAGTGAGAATAGTGGAAGTATGAAATAATTTATTAGGGAGTGTACCTTTATGATTTCTAGAGGATTGAGCAATTTGGTAGAGGGACAGAAGATAGAGAAAAGGTGGCAGTAGCAATGGTGAGTGAATTATTTCAATACTGTATTGCAATTCTTTGATTGTTTCAAGGACAAAATGAGTATCTGATATCAACAAATTTATACTTACGAAGATCTAATCTTTTATTAATCTTTCATGAGATATGGGTGTTGTTGCTGCTATGTACAGTATGACTTGAAGGTGGACCTACAGCTGGTAAATTTGCCTCAGGGCACCATTAAATGGTTACAGCACTAAAAGAGGCCATTCAGCACTGTATCTGCACTGGCTCTTTGCAAGATCAACTTAACAAGTACCACTCTGTTGCCTTTCCTCCGGAGCCCTGCAAATGTTTTCACTTCAGAAAACCAATTTTACGAAAACTCTTAATATTGCTTGGAGGATTTAAGTTTTGTGCAAGTGGAAAAAATGTCTGATTTCAAGTTTAGTGCAAGTACCTGGATTTCCTTTAAAAGATGGAATTGAAAGGGCACGGTGGGCATTGAACATTATTTCTTACAAAGCTTCCTAGAAATCACATGACTGGTGATAACTGTTCTTCTGTAGACGCCTACTGGTACTCTTTGAACAATGACTGGATGGAGAATGCTTTGATATTTGAAATAAGTTGGGAAACAAGAAGCCTGCGAAGATGAGCAGCTCAGCTGATCTCTCTCATTTGTGAAAAGAAAAGAACTCTCTTGTTGAGTTCAGAGTGAAACCGATTTGTTCTTCTGCAAGAGTGATGAAGGAACTTTTCAATATTCTACTTCATGAGCAAGCTGTATCTGCCAGGATCTCCACAGTCAACCATGACATAACCAAATTTGATACATCCAGAACACAGATGGAAGTAAGTTCAGAAACTGCAGAGGCAGTGGTTATAATCTTTCAAACCTGCTTAGATATAAGGAGTGGTGCCAGAGAACTACAGAATTCCAAATGATATACCCTTTGTTGAATAAAAAGGGGAAGGATAAGCCCAACGATTACAAGCCATTCAGTTTAACCTCAGTGGTGGGAAAGGTTTTAGAAACAATAGGACAAAATTAACAGTTACTTGGACAAATGTGGATTAATGAAGGAAAGCCAGCATGTATTAAATTATGTTTGACTCACTTCAGTAAGTTTTTAAATTGAAACAGCAAAGAGGACTAATGAGGGGATTGTGATTAATGTAATGTAAATAGACTTTCAAGAGACATAAGATAAACTGCAACATAAAGAGGCTTGCCTTAAGTTACTCACCTTGCAACAAAGGACTTTGGTGAAACAGGAGGGCTGTTACAATGATCTAAGTTGTATAGTCATTATGACAGGTACTGGATTGACTCCAAGCTTATTTAATTAGATTATTTAATTTTCCCAGCTGTTGTGATGAGAGTTAAACCCAAGTGGAATTGAGGATTATCAGATAAACCATGATCACATTGAATAGCAGAGCCGGTTCAATAGGCTGAATGGGCCTACTTTTGCTCCCACGTCTTATGTTTCTGGATTATTAGTCCAGGTTTATGAATTACTAGTTCAATAATACAACCATTATTTCTAGTACCACATGGTCAGAAATTCAACCTCCTTCTTTCACAAGTTTCAAGGGTTGTTCAACCACATTTCAGCTTCCTAACAGCCAACATCAATTAATCCATTTGATTCTTTCACAGGCCAACAACGTACAATTAGATTGGGAAAAGGCATACCTCCTATTGGGTCTTCTTCATCAGAAAAAGAAGTGAAGATGAGTTCTGCTGGACTTGTCTATTTTTCAGGTTTTGAGTTGGAGTAATTTGTGCATTTTTTTTTTAAAAAAGAACATCGCTCATGGGATGTGGGTAACACTGGCCAAGTTTGGTTTAATTATCTATCTCTAAGAACAATATAGTCCCAAGTCAGGGTTGTGTTCGGCTTGGAGAAGAATTTGGAGGTAGTGTGTTCCTACGTATCTGCCACCTTTGACTTTCAGGGGTAGGGGGTCACAACTTTGAAAGGTGCTGACAAAGAAGCCTGGACAGGTTGCCGAGTTGCATCTTGTAGACAACATATAGCGCTGCACTGTATGTCAGTGATGCAAGTTATGGACAGGATTCCAATCAAACTTGTTGCTTTGTCCTGGACAGTATCAAGTTTCTTGAGTATTGTTGGAAATTCACCTATCCAGGCAGGTGGAGAATATTCCATTACACTCTTGACTTGAACATTGTAGATGGTAGACAGGATTAGAGAGTCAGGAAGCAAATTACTGACCACAGAATACCTAGCCTCTGAACTTCCCTTTTAGTCAGTGTTATATGGCTGATCCAGTTCAATTTCCGGTTAACAGTAACCTCCAGGATGTTGAAAGTTGGGGGTTTCAATCATGGTAATGCCATTGAAATGTCAAAGAGAAACAGTTAAATTCTTTCTTGTTGAAATGGCCATTGTCTGGCACAATCGTACAAATATTACTTGCCACTTATCAGCCCAAGCCTGGATATTGTCCAGGCTTTGCTGCATATGACATTATCAGAGAGTTATGCTGTTGAACATTCCATGATGATAACACAACATCTCCATTCTCATATCATGATGGAGGATAGGTTATTGATAAAAATGGTTAGGCCTTGAAGAACTCCTGTGATGGAGTTGGAGCTGAGGTGATTGACCAGTAACTACTACAATCATCTTCCTTCTTGCTAAACAGCAGTATGTTTTCTCGAGGGAAAAGTCATATGAATTTTCCTGGGCTCTTTGAAGCCACACTGATTGAATGCTGTCACTTCACTTCCTTGTTGTAGAACAGAGGGACCATGGGGTGCAAGTACATAATTCTTTGAAGTTTGAGTCACATATAGATAGGTTGGTTTAAAAAAGACGTTTGGCACACTTGCCTTCATTGCTCAGTCCTTTGACTATAGCACTATAGGATTTGGGAAGTCATGTTGAGGTTGTACAGGACATTGGCGAGGCCTCTTCTGGAATACTATGTCCAGTTCTGGTCACCCAGTTATACGAAGGATATTATCAAGCTGGAGATTTATCCACCAACCTCCTGATATAAGAGGTTTAAGTTATAAAAGGAAGGCTGGAGAGGCTGGGACATTTTCCACTGGAGAGTAAGAGATTTATAAAATAACGACCAGGTCTAGGTAGAGTTAAGGGTAGTTATCTTTTCCCTAGGATGGGGGAATTTCAAGACTAGGTGATGTATTTTTAAGGTGAGAGGAGAAAGAAGAATGAGATGTTTTAAAAAAAAAGCAAGAGGCATTTTTTTTTAAAAGAAACCATCAGAGGGTGGTTTGTGTGCGGAACAAACTCCAGAGGAAGTGGTGGATGCAGGTACAATTGCAACATTTAAAAGATATTTGGGCAGATACATGAATAGGAAAAATTTGGAGGGATATGAGCCAGGAACAGGCAAATAGGACTAGTTTAGTTTGGGATTATAATTTGGCATGGAGTCATTGAACCGAAGGGTCTGTTTCTGTGATGCCTGACTAACTTCTTTATGCATCTAATTGGTCTGAGGTAGTTGCTCTGCTTGATTTAGTTTATCTCCTTTAAGAGATAATTTCTTTTTAAATTATTTGAAATTTATGTAGTTTTCTGAAGGGAATTCAGTGAATCTGACCTTTTTTCTTAAAAAAAAAAACTTAAAAATCTTAGCAGCTTCTCTGGTTTATACTGCAATCACTACAAATTTTCTATCATTTGTAATTAAATTAGTTTTTAATGTAACTGTAAACTGGAAATTGTAAATCACAGCATGCCAGTAAAGTACACGTGATTGCTGTTAGCTTTAGCAGTGGGACGAGAGGACGAGAGGACGAATCAATCAATGCTCAACTGAAGTTGGGAGTATATTGAATTGGGGATGCTTCATGACAAATGGTGGATAAGGAGAGGAATGCCTGACCTACTTATTGGTAGCATGAAAGACCATGAAGGCCAAAACAAAAAAACAAAAAACAAAAATTGCTGACATTCAGCCCACATTTAAAAATCTAACAATCAATTTGGTCTTTTCCATAAGCTATCAAGAGCAATAATTATTAGAACCATAGGGCAACACAGCACATGTATGAATGGTTTCGTGTTCCCAATTAACTTTTTTGGTGATTGAATCTATGTAATGGCAAGGAGAGGTACAGACAAGTAGACTATTTCAAAATAACAAACAAACAAACTTTACTCAGTAGAAATCTCTCCTCATTTTTACACTACTGAAATTTGAGCTAAAATCAAAAATGATTAAAGTACCACCTTGTCTGTTACCAAATTATTTCTTTCTCCCTTCATTTGCTGTCTCTAATTTGACTGGAATAAGTACAATATAATACATGTTATTAAAGCAACTGTGTGCAGCTAAGATTCTATGCCATTTCCAAAGCAATTATAGAAATCAAACCTCTTATTTGAGTAACTTCTGGTGTCAAAGTACAAGATATAAAGTTCTTACTAATATATTACACATGATTAAAATTCTCCCCACTTTCCAACTCCTTCACTTTGGATGGAATAGAAGAAATTCTTTCATTAAAAGAACATAAGAACTAGCATTAGTAGACAATTGAGTCCCTCAAACCTGCTCCACCATTTGATACAATCATGGGTGATCACACTTCAGCCTCAACACCACTTTGTCTGGTCTCCACAACCCTTCAAGCCATTACTAATAAATAATCAAATCTCCTCCTTAAATTTACTCAACGTCTCAGCAACCACTGCACTTTGGGGTAGTGATTTCCACAGATTCACAACCCTTTGAGAGAATTAAGTTCTAATCTCCATTTTAAATCTGCTATTGCTATCCTAAAACTAATGATCTCTCATTCTAGATTATGCCAGTTGAAGAAACATCCTCTCTACACCAACTTTGTTAATTCCCTTTAACATCTTACGTTCCTCAATTAGATCTCCTCTCATAGGGCAAAACCCTTATCTCTGGAATCAGTGAACCTCCTCTGAACTGCCTCCAATGCAACTAAATCCCCCAAGTGATTCATTAATGTCTTATACAGTTGCAGCAAGACTTGCCTACTTTTGTATTCTATTCCTTTAGCAATATATACCAACATTCCATTTGCCTTCCTGTTTACCTGCTGTACCTGCATATTAGCTTTCTGCAATTCACGCACGAAGACACCCAGACCCCTCTGCACTAAAGCACTCTGAAGTTTTCTCCATTTAGGTACTAAGCTAACTTTCTATTCTGTTTACCAAAATGGATAATCTCACACTTACCCATGTCAAGCGTCTGCCAAATTTTGGCCATTCACTTAACTTGGCTGTATTCATTTGTAAATTTCTTACTTCTTCATTGCAACTTACTTTCCCCTTTATTTTAGCACCATCTGCTTATTTGGTTATTGTACTTTCTATTCCTGCAGCCAAGTCATTAGATTGTAAATAGTTGGGGCATGAAGACTGAACCCTGTGGCTCCTCACTAATTACATCTTGCCAACCCAAAAATGTGATTGAGTCCACAGAACATTGATGAGAAGCAGCTTCTGCCTGCTGCCACTACATGATTGGCTCCCACATTGCTGAACAATTTTGGGCTGTGAACATTGTGAGAAGCCATGGATCGCTGCAAGCGCGGGGGCCATGTTTGTTCTCTGCAGAAGGAATGGCTTTAAGTGTAAAGAAAGTCAGTTAATTTTTCCTTCAGCTGTTGCTGTAAACGGTGACTTCTAATTAATAGAGACCTTTACCAGTGTGAAGTGTCATCCTGTGTACACCGCTAACAAGTGAAAACATCTACAGAAGCTGAATCACAAATCAGCACTGATCAGCAAAAGAATTTTCTCAGAAAACGCTGGGAACAAAGAAGGCTGAATTACCTCCCCAGTATTTCCCTCTGACATAACACCCATGATATTTCCCCACTGCCCTGCCCCATGTCTGTCTGTATGTCAGCGTTTTAATTAGTAGTTACAGGCAGACAGCTTATAATTGTTTACCTGTAGCTAGAGTCCAATTATTTGTAATAAGTAGTGATTCTTGTTAAGTACAGAAACTTGGTTCGTGCTTTGTCAATCTGGATCTGATAGTCAGGTAAATTGGGAACCTTTGCATACTTATAAAACTTTAAGTTTTGTGTCAACTTTGCAAATTGAAGAGCTCATTTTTTGGTGTGCTATCCCAGTAAGGTGTAACAGTGAGTAATGAGGACAATAGACAAGTTATTCCCATTGGTATAAGCACCAATCTGGTATCAAACCACACTATAAATTCTAATGTTTGATCACTGGTCTTTGATTGGCTAGCTTTGTCAACTAGGGAACAGATGCAGCTGGGATGAATCCAACCATCTAATTAAATTCTTATTGTCCTGAAGATTTCAGGTGTTGCCAGGGAGAAAAAAAGACGACAATATGCATCAGCACAGAGTACAGAACTCGTGGAAGGAAATCAAAATGTTCTTTGAAGGGTGATGAACAAAAATGAGCTGGAGCTCTAGGAGGAAAAGATTTCTGCAGAGCAATGCAACCACCTCCACCCCGTCCTTTCCATATGTCTGCACAAATAAAAATATACACGATATTCAACAAACTAAAATTACCAGCTTCTTAAATTTTTTCTTGTTGTTCCTCTAAACTGTTTTTAGTGCTTTTGCACTAAATTCTAAAAATGTGCAGTTAGAACAGAGGATAAAAGGACAAATTATGAAGTTAGAGTGGCAGGCACACAAATGGCATTTCCAATATCAATTTGCATTTTAAAGCTCATTTTGATCTCAGAGGAAATTTTTTAAAAAAGTGAATGGCTTTAATCAAACCTATCTTGATCCTTAAGAGCTCTTCAGTCAACTCTGCACTTGGAGCAAATTCAGTGCCAAACAAAATGTAGCAAAAAAATTGAGGACTTCCATTCATTGACAGGTAACACTGCTGTTAAATCTTTGTAAAGAGCATATCCCCTCATGTCTTTTCGTATAGCAGAGATGGCACTAGGATGGAGAATAGCAGATATGACAACTAATGCAAATATCTTGTTCTAAAAGATATTCCTATTGATTTCGTCATCATAATGAAATGCTAACAGCCATGAAGATTAAGACTTGAACTAGCAAGAGAGTTTTTTTCCCCCAAATCTTTCTGTAAATTTTGCGCTAATCCAGAGAGGAATATTAAACACAGGGACAAGAACAAAGTTGCTGGAAGAAGCTCAGCAGGTCTGGCAGCATCCGTGAAGGAAAAAACAGAGTTAACGTTTCGGGACCAGTGACCCTTCCTCAGGAGGAAGGTTAAATGTTGGTGAGCAAAAAGGCTTTGTTTGGCATTTAAAAATCAATGGCAACATTAAACATTTCTAGACTGGATTCAACATGGATTAGCTGCAGCAAATAATTTTTTTTCCACTCTACTCCAAAACATGCCCCAGTAGCAACTTTAGAATACTGCTTCCTGTCTAAAGTTTTCTTCATTCCATCGTAACACTCTTAAAGCCCCCAGCAAGAATACGAATGTAATGGCAATTCAGGAGTTTTATGCCATGATTTGTGTCCATTAAGAACTGACTTAAGATTGCTGGGATAAACGTACTCTTTCCCTGTAACTAAGAGGCAGAGGACACTGGTGAGACTAAAACTCAATTGACAGGTGGAAGACCAGAGTCTAATTCACTAGCAACTCTGAACACTTCTTCATTTTAAAAAACATCAAAAGAAATCCAACAGATGAAGAAAGCAAAAGGCAACCACACATTACGTAATTTTGGGAGTTTAGTCAACATCTTAAACGGATTCATCTAATAATTGGCAAATGCTGTGCAATTCAGTAACTGAAGATAGAAGCTCTAATCCTGAAGAGGAAGCTTTTGTTTCTTTCAATTTAAGTGGTAAGCAATGTAGTTAAAACATTTTTTTTTTTTTTTTAAACTGTGTCTTGTACTTATAGATGAAAATTACACATTTAAAAGAAGGATGATATCTTAAGAGATCAACCCATTTAGTTTATCAGCAATAATAGAAATATTTACTTTTAGTGAGAAATGAAGGCTAACTGTTTAATTAAGGTACTTAACAGAAGGCCTATGACAATTGTTGGGCACACCGAGTCAAGACAAATAGCTGGATGAATAAGCAAATCTTAAAAACAAGCAAGCAGACGGTAGTGCTAAAGAATAGTTATTCACATGGAAGAAATATGAAAGCAGTGTCCCCGGAGACCATTGTTAGTCGTAACTCAGTGAATGCTTGGACTCAATCACAAGTTACTCAATAATCAAAGTTTCACAATGATATGAAATTGGTGTACAGTTAAAAGCTGAGGAAGAACACAGCACAATATGTTTTTAGACACTTGCTGATTGGGCAGGGGGGTAGCAAATGAACGTTAAATAAATAAGTGAGGTGATACCCCTTGGTAGGGAGAATACAAACAAGTTCTACACCTTATCAAAAAAGAAGTGGTAGAAGACCGACGAGCTCCAACGACGCAGGTGAAATAAATCAATAAAGCATGTCAGCAAAGCAATTAAAACAGTGAATTATGTTAAACCTATACAGGACTCTGGTCATGCCGCCATAAAGCTCATTTTTTAATCTTCACACTATGAAATAGACATAAAAGTACTGGAAAAAAGTACAAAAATGGTTTGAGGATGGGACCAAAAATTGATTCTAACTAAAGGGAAAGACTGAATGCTTTTTTTCCCTGTCAGAAACAATAAAAAGATTTTCCATGTTTAGGCTTTTGAACAATGCAAAAATAGGGGCCAAAAATTCAAGACGATTACAAATAAATCCTCTCAGGAAATAAAGAAATATTCATGCATTCAAAATGGTTAGAGTGTGCAGCATGCCACTACATAGACATTTTCCAAACAAAACAAACTAGACAAATAGGTGGGAGAAGAGAGAGGTGAAAAGCTGAAAAAAAAAACTAGAAAGAGGCTTATGTGAAATATAAATGTCACCACAGACTATCAGACCGAATGATCTGCTCTTGTGCAAGATGTATTTTATGTAAATTAGAATTCACTTGGTATTATGCCAAATGACATTTCTTTAGATAAAGAAAATATTGAACAGTAAACCTTACCTAAATTTTCTTTATCTTCCAGGAATTATCAGAATCTGGTCAGAACAGAAAGATTTTATTTTAAAATCTAACACGAAGTTATCATACCTCCATTTTGAAAGGCAAGATTGAGCAGGGGTGGCCACCTAATACTATTTGCTAGTGAAAGTTGGATAAAGAACATTAACAAAGCAACAGAATAACTGGATAGGGAATGATTTCCCCAGGTTTTCTTTTGGCAACATAATCAAAGTTATGATATGCAGATGACTGAAGTTTTGTGCAATTTACAACTGAAGATCTGGAAGTTATAGAGAATACGTCACAGTATTATGAACTATCCTGTGTCACCTGGCACTACTTCAGCGAATGCATTTATAACATTTAAGGACCCAGCTTCTTTCAATGCTATTTACTTAAAGTTCGAGGTGGATGCTTTCTATCAGACTTCACATGGATGCAGATTTAAGTCACCTTCAGCTCAGATTCTTCTGACATTTTATTACACTGGTCACCCAAAGCAAAACTGTACTGCACAGCCAGCCATGGCATCAAAAATAAAACAAAAACAAAAAAACTTGGCTTGAAGGTCTTTAAAAACAAAACCAACATTTTTAACATAATAAAACTGAACTGGTGTGAATTTCAGAATTATTATTCTCTATACAGGTGCAACCTACTGAGTACTTCCAGCATTTTCTGTTTTTAGTATGCTATGTTAAGGGTTTAGCTATTAATAAAAACGGTTATCTGAACTCCTTGCTTGAATTTCACTTCGACATTGATTATTTTCTGGGGAAATTGCCAGTTTTAACTTGGAAATTGAGTAATACTAATTGATCAAGTACACTCAGCATCCATTATTATAAATAGTTTGTAAGAGAAAAACCAACAGGATTACACATTCTAGATTGTCATAGTGGTGATAGGAAATAATACAGCAGCTTAACGCACTGCTCATGTCATGATGATCAATATACGCATGAAGAAGAAAGCATGGCCAAATTAAAACAAAACAGCCATCACAGAAAACGAATGATGCAACATCACTTACAACATGAACACAGATCTTTACATTAATGACTTCATCTTGGAAATATTTAGCGAACTTTAGTTTTGGAGAAGAAAGCATCATTAAATTAGCTTTCTTCACAAATAGTCAAAATTCAGCAAGATGGTCACAGATACATTCCTTCCATCAAAACTCTACAGTATGTACAGATACGAAGTTCTCTCAGCAGGTGTTTATGCTTCCAGTTTATATTTCCAGTAATTTCTTCATTTTCTATTGTGTCTTCCAGACAATCCGATTCCCTCTAGAACAGAAAAGTTTACATTAGTTGAACAATCTGCTAAAAACTATTGTAATTCATTTTCCCCCTTTCTTCCCTCCAGTTTGTACATGCTTAAAGTTTTGGCAAAGATCTGTAGCTCAGGTGGTGGATGAGGTTGTTGACTTGCTCGCCGAGCTAGTTTGTTTTTGTTGAGATGCTTCGTCACCATGTTAGGCGACATCATCAGTGGATCCTCCAACGAAGCAACGTTATTCTACTCCACTTGGAGGTTATACTGTCTGGTCCGCTATGTGGGAGTATAGTCATTTCCGGTTTTAATCTGTACGGGTTTGTGTACGGGGTCTAATTCTATATGTTTGTTGTCTATGTGTGGCTTGGGCTACTATGGTTACCTTGTCCTTAGTGAAGGCCATCAATTTAATTGGGACAAGGTAACCATAGCAGCCCAACCACACGGACACGCACGGGAATTCCTAGAGGCATGGTTCTCCACCCATACTTCAATCAACAAACATGTATATTGGACCCCATATACAAACCCATACAGATCAAAACCAGAAGTGACAGTACTCACCATATCGGACCGTACAGTATAAATTCCAAGCAGAGTAGAATAACATCGCTTCACTGGAGGCTCCACTGATGATACGTCTAAACAAAAACAAGCCAGCTTGGCAAGCAAGTCAACAACCTCATCTTTGTATATGCTATTCCAGATCATTCTGTTTCAATTACTGGGATTTGTCCATACTTATATCTTCAGAAGGTAAAAGAAAGCTAGGTTTAGTCTAAGCCCAAAAGGGCAGCAGATCTGGGCACACAGAGCACTGGCCTATATAACCAAGCCAGATTACTATAAATTTAATTCAATCCGCCCAAAACCAGCCTGGTGCACTAGTTGGCTGCTGTGGATATAGTTGATTGCAGTTAAGAAACTGCAGTCATGGAACTGAGAAGCTAGTTCTGTCGTCAGTTAAGAGTGGGAAATGATCGTTTGGGTGGAGTGGGTGGGTGGGCAGTGGAACTAATAAAGGATCGGGATGAGGGGAAAACCAAAATAACTAAAACTGGTACTTATGAGGCCAAACCTTGAAGTTAATTGCAGGTGAAATTCTCTTTCGAAGAATGCTGTAGACGTTTTGGTTCCAGAGATGCATTACACTCAAATAGATGGCAGATGTTTTAAAGTTAACAGGGGCCTCACAGGGAGGGAACTAGTATAACAAAGAGAAATGAAAGTTTAAACTGGTTTTTGAACTGTGCTAGAGTCTGAAAGATTGTGCCTGCGAAAGCTACAGGACAGAGGTTTGATTGCTTCCTGGTTGTCCTCCCATTATCAATTTATTGAAAGTTTCAAGACTGGAATCTCAGTTATAAGTATAATGAACACTCCTCAGAGCCGACTGGAAGCTATCTGCATACATTTGGTACCTTCAGAAACCATACAGAATATAATTCTATGTGACCAATGTTACAGATTGTGGAGACTACGTAAGTGATCTAGCCTGTTAGATTTCATTTATTTCTTTTCTTTTGATTTATCCCTGATTTGTGTCTTTTTTTCTGCCTGTTCCCTTTAGTTTAACTAACTTTTGCTTGGTTTACACTCCAGACACATCCAGTGTACTCAGCTACAACAACACAAACAACTTGCACTAAAATAGTAATGACAAAACATTTTAGAATACATTGAGACTTTTTTTAAACAAAATTTGTTCATGGGATAGTGGCTGTTGCCTAGTGGACAGTCAAGAGTCAACCACATTGCTGTGGGTCTGGAGTCACATGCAGGCCAGACCAGATAAGGATGGCAAATTTCCTTCCCTGAAGGACATTTGTGAACCAGATCAACATGACGCTGGCGACAGGGGGACAAGAGCTATCTACATGCCAGTTGACTCCTATCAGGCACAGATGCAAAGCACTGATCGAATGAGACAATACAAATCTGCACCTTTAGGGTGAAAATGTTAATTAATTTAGAACTTGAACTGCATTTACTCCCAAGGGCCAGATGTGTATGGAAATCAATTCTGTCAAAGTTAGGTTGGTGTGGGAAGAGAAATATGGTATAGAAAAGTGGCATTGTAGTGGCTTTTAAGTTGAGCTAAAGTATAAAAGATTAAGTGCACATACTTGTCATTATCCACTGTTTTGTTGCTACCGAAATCCAGTTGCTGTAACATTCAGCTTTACCTACAAGAAAGCAAAGTCACAGAATTAAACAGTATCCTGTTTTGGAAGTAGAGATTTTCAGCTAAAGAATAAATAAAAGAATTTTCACATGGTCTTTTCCACGGTGGAACTCTGAATAGCAGAAGCAGGCAATTTTGCCCTTCAAGCATGCTCTGCCCTTTGAGAAAGTCATGGCTGATCTGGTTGTGGTCTCAACTCCACTTTCTTATCTGCCTCACATAGTCCTGGATTCTTGACCATGAAAAATGTATCTAACTTAGCCTTGAACAAATTTAATGACTAAACCTCAACTGAATTTTAAAGGAAGAGAAACCCAGTAACAACCCTCAGGAAAATTTTCATCGCAATCTAAAATGGAGACCTCTACTATGACAGGGAATAACCGAACCCCTCTGATAATTAAACTAAATCACAAGCTCACTATCTGTTATGACAGGATTAAGGGTTCCCCTCTAATAATTACTCCCAAAACACCCAGAAAAGCTAATCTTTCCCTTCGTAATGTATTAAGAGTGGTTAAAAGAAAGAAAATCTCTCATCTCCACTTTACAAGAAATGATCTATTTATTTAACCCAACAATGAAAAAATGAACAAATTAACAAAATTACCAACAAACCAACAATTCCCCCTTAGACTACTAACTACTCCCTAATGGTGTAAATTCTACTGGAATGCTGTTTAAATAAAAACAAGTCCCACTAATATAAACCCAATTAATAAGAAGCAATAAATTAGAACATAATCTCTCCAAGTTCACACAGACTGTCTTCTAGAATATTCTGTCATCTCGGTCTCTTTAAACGCCTTTCTTCCACTAATTCTGATGTCAGGATATTTTCTCTATAATTTCTTCAATGAGGACTTTGAGCTAAAATACCATGGCATCTTTGATGAATTAGATGGGCTTTCTCAGAACTCAATGATGCTAACTCTGGCAGGTGGCAGTTGTTTCTCTCTTCCAGATGGCAGTTGGCTCTCTGATTTTCCAAAAGCCCTCCCCTTATGTACCCGTAATGACATAATCAAATTCTTATAGGATTGGTTTCAGGTTGTCAACACCATCAGATTTAAATTCAATTGGCTTCTGTATCAAGGGGCTTCCTTTAAATTAATTGGCCACATTCAAACTTGTCTTGGAAAATTTGCTGCTTGGCTGTTCTATACAAAATATGTTTCTATTCAGGCACTCTGTCTGTGCTTGGAGGCTTACAAATGCAGGTGCACAAAACACAAGGTCTTAAAAAGGGACCACAGCAGTCTTTTCCCCACAATCATTTTCACCAACAAATTCTAACTTCCTGCCTTCTAATTCACGAACTCTATCCAACTTCGTAACGCCTCTTATGTTTCGTCTCCCATGAGAGGAAATATTTTTCCCGTATCCATCCAATCAAGTTCCTTCAGGATCTTTTATGTTTCAATAGGATCACAAATCCAACTTACTCAACCTTTCTTTACAAGGTAAGCTCTTTATATATGTGCTGTACACATGCATAGCAAGTGTATTTTTGGAAAAGTCTGGATAATTGCAAGCATGCTAAAACAACTTGAATGACCTATTGACTTGTCAATAAACAAAAATTCAAACACTGCTCTTTCAAAATTGTTCCAAGAATAAGTATTGCTCAATTACAATGTGTCTGCATTATTGTGATAGGTGGTTCCCACAAAGTGATATTTGTCCCTTTTGTTACGTTCCACTCAAATCACAAAAGAACATAAGAAATACAAGCAGTAGGCCATATGCCCTTCAACGTACTCCCACTTTTCAACATGATCACTGTTGAATTTCTGCCTTATTTCTATTTTCCTGCAAATTCTCTACAACCCTCGATTTCCTGAGGCACTAAACATCCGTCTCTCTGATTCTAGGTCTTTTAGAAAATTAGCACCAATGCTTTTACTACCTCATTAACTATCTAAGACACTAGGATGAAGTCCATCAGGACCGAGAGACTTTAGTAATTGCCACTTTACCAAGTAGCTGTCTCCTTTCCACTCCTGACTTCTAGCTATTACTAGAATTTCCACTCCCCTCCCCCGTCAGCTACAAAGAAGACAGAAACAAAATATTTGGTAATTTCGTGTGCTATTTTCCTCATTATCTATTTCCTTCCCATTCACACTCTAGGAGAACTATCACTCACTTTATTTACTCTAGTTTTAAACAGCCATAGAAACTCTCACGGAGTTTTCACATCTGTAACTAGACTCCTCTCATACACTAATTTCTTACTCCTAATTAAACTTGTGGTCATTCCCTGGTGTACCCTAACTCCTTCAGTTAGTCATGGATGGTGGGTCCTTCCTTTGGAAATTTTTTTCAAAAATAGCAGTAATACAAATTATCTTACTATTTATAAATATACCCTTAAATAAATACCACTGTATCTCTATTGATCTATCCCCTAGTCTAGTGTGCTAGTCTACTTCAACCAGTTCAGCTTTCATCCTCACATAGTTGCCCTTACTTAGGTTTAAAACACTAGTCTTAGACCCAATCTTCTCCCTTTCAAAGTGGATGCAAAATTCAACCATATGTTTGCTGCTACCCAAGGGTGCGTTTATTCAGATCATTAACTAATTGTGTCACATTATATCATACCAAGTCTAACCTAACCGGCTCTCTGGTCAGCTCCAGAACATGCTGCACCGAGAAACTCTCTCAAAAGTATTACCCATGATTATAAACTTTGTTTTAAATCACAAGCACCCAATAGATCTTATTGCATGCTTTGCCTTACATTATGATTAGCATTAGGGGCTGTAGATCACACCTGCCAGTTTCATTTCTCCTATTATTCCTCATCCCCACTCAAATTGATTTTAGATCTCAAATCTCTTGAACCAAGGTCATACCTAATGATTGTACAAATGCCTTCTTTGATTAACTGCCCCAACTTTATTTAGTTTCCTATTCACGATTGGCCCTGAATATTGAAGAGAACATGACATTTTCATCCTGAAGCCGCAGCTCTCCAATAGCTTTCAAATCATTTATTTACTCCAACATGCACTAAATTTGTTAACTTTGTTATTTGCACATTCAGATTCAGAACTACGTTGCATCTTTTTTTTAAATTTTTGTAACATCTGGTCGTGACTGTTATTGCACTGTACTCTTAGGATTCTTTTCTTCTGTCCCTTCCAACAATTTTCTAACCCTCATTTCCAAATCTTAACTCTACTCTTTGATACACCTTATCTTTCTATATTGAACCCTTGCCCCCACTGTTTAGTTTAAAATCCTTTATCTCCTTAGTTATGTGATCCACAAGAATACTGATCCCAGTGTGGTTCAGATGTAGACTTTCCCAACTGTACAGCCCCACTTTCTCCAATATCCATGTCAGTGCCCCACAAACTAGAATCCCCCACTTCTCCCACACTAGTCTTTGAGCCACATATTCAACTCTAATTTTAAGAACACTAACAATTTGCATTCATTTAAGGTAATAATCCAGAGATTCTGCTTTTCAATTCACTGTTAACTCCACATTCTCTGTATACATAACCTCTCAGTACTATTTTCATTGCTACGGACATGGACCACAACCACTGGATCATCACTCTCCCAGTACAAGCTCCACTCCAGACTGAGGCAGATGTCCTGAATTCTGGCACCAGGAAAGAAACATAGCTGTTTGGACTCTTTGCTGTGAAGAATGATGTCAATTCCCTTCCTAATGTTACCTCCTTCTTCTACGACTTACTACAATCCTTTCCGCATTCCCTAATGTTCCTGACCATTCATTAAATCAGAATACTCTATCTTAACTGGTACGATTGCATCCTGGTATAAAACAATCCAGGTATCTTTCACCCTCACTGATGTGTTGCAGTATGTAGTTCAGCCTCTAGTTGAATCTTGAAGACAACATTGCGTGCACTTAACACTTGCTGCAGACTTGTTCGCTCTGGATTACCAGAAGATGCCACACCAGCATTTATTATCCATCCCGAATTGCCCAGAGGGCAGTTAAGAGTAAACCGTATTGCTGTAGTCACATACTGTGTCACATGTAGGCCAGACCAGGTAAAAATGGCAGAACTGTCTTCTCCTAAATGTTATTAGTGAGCCAGATGGATTTTTATGACAATCAGTGACAACATGGTCGTCATTATGCCAGTAGGCTACCTATTCCAAATTTTTGCTGAATTCAAATTTCATATCTACCACGGTGAAATTTGAACCCATTATACCTATAGTTCTGCAGTAATGCCCAGTGACTTCACCACTATTCCACTGCCTCCAGCCTGCAGCAACCTCCACCCAGGTGACATCACCTAACCTGCCATCTTTGAATTTTAATTTATACTATTCCTTTATGATGTTTTTTATATATTTTATTAATCCGATCACCAATTACATACTGTTTTAAAACTAAGATTAGAATAGTCTTTTAAAATTTGCTCATAGGACATGGGTGTCTCTGGATGGGGAAACATTTATTGCCCGTCCTTAATTGCCCTTCAGAAGATGGTACTGAGTTACCTTCTTGGGCTTCTGCAGTCAAATGTGCTGTAGGTAGAAGCACAATTCTGTAAGGGAGTGAATTCTTAATCATTTAAGATACTCTGAAACAACTAGCTCTTTTCACATCACACAAGAACCAGATAATGGTCAATTACTATCACGGAACTGCCTACCAATCAACATTTTGGAGAGGATTCACCATTGATCAGAAACTTAATTGGACAAGCCACATAGATATAATGGTGATAAGAAGTCAGAGGCTGAGAATTGTGCAGCAAGTAACACAAAGCCTGCAACTTCTACTAGCATGCAAATGGGAACAGCAATACCTATTGCTAACATCAGTTCCTCCAAGCCACATGACATCCTGACTTGGAACAATGTCACTGCTCCTTCACTATTGCTCGCTTCAAAAAAAATCTGGAACTCCCTTCGTAAAAATATTGTAGCTGTAGATAACTGCCTTTAAGATGATGCCTCATCCTTCGAATTAAGATGACATCAACCGAGGGTCACAAACTTTCCCCATGGTCTTCATGTGACTGAACGGGCCAATTCTTGACCTGCAGATCTTTGTAAAGATGGGACAGGAAATTTCAAGGTAGTGGGATCCAGAGTGCAGGATTTTCTCTTTTCTTTCCTTCTCTGCCACTATTTTGTCCCATTAAGTTGCTTGCATTCAATGCATGATGCAGTGGAGGGACAGAATGATTGGCAGCAACTCCTCACAGTCTTTAATGTCAATTTTATCAAGTTTCAAAGAGAGCTTCAGAGCATCTTTGCAACATTTTCCTTGTCCTCCCTTAGAATTTTGGCTACTTGTGAGTTGAGGGAAAAAAAGCACATGACTAGGACACACTCTTCCAGCCATCCAGTGGCCAGTCCATTGTGGTTGGTCTTGCAAGAGTTTTGCCTACATTCATGTAAAGCTCACTTCAGGAAGGACAGTACTGCTTGTTCAGTGGTCCTTCCACTGAATTCAGACAATATAGCAGAAAGATTACTGGTGGAATTTCCTTTGTCACTGATACATGGTCCAAATCACAATGCAGTATAGACTCACTATTTCTATTTGCCCATGCAATAATGGGCAACAAATACTGGTCTCGTCACTGACAATCACATCTCATGAAGGATTTGAAAACTAATGCTAACTTCCCGTACTCTTTGTACCAGTATACCAAATCTGAGCATAAATCAGAAACTCCATGCTTTTCAGAACAAAAAAGTTCTGCTCATCTATTCTTACTTGCAAAAATGCACTTCTCTCGGTTATACATCACCTAGCACTTGTGTTTCTTGCTTTGCAAAATCTATTTTCTGAAAAACTTAAATTCCTATCTCACTTTGGGTCATCTACAAGCTCAGATACATTACTCTAGATTGCCCTTTATCTACACTACCAGTTACATTCTTAAAATATCTTATTGGGCCTGTAGCTCTTGGTGGGTTGGGGGGCAGGGGGGGTTTGCTCTGTCCTCAGTAGAAAAGCAGATCCATTGGCAAGCATTTAATTGTATCACTGAAGTGCAGGATACAGGTGAAGAAGGAGTAGCAAAAACAGAAGGCAAAATTGTTGGGGAACTCTGGAGGTGACAGAAAAACAGAAGCCCCTACCGGAGATGATGCTCTGATTACAATTGAATCTTTAGAATTTGAACCAAGCAAAAGGTTAATACACGAGTTGAAAATCAGAAAAGAAGCCTGAAAGCAGGGAAATGCAATCAGACATGTCAAAAGCTGCAATGAGGAAAACTCACCACCGGAACTATTCCAAGGACGTTATCTGTGACTTTGATTAGATTTATGTTTCAATCCAGAGTCAGCACCAAGTTACCTTGTCTGCCAGTCAATATTGGAAAAATCTAGGCACGTTGCCCTCAATTTCCTTGTTGTATACAGTCATGTTATTGTGCTGTGTTTGGACATGGGTAAATTTGGTTACTAGGATCTTCCTTGAGTTTAAGTTATAATAAATATTTCTTTCAGTGCATCTTCAATGCATGCACAGTTTCAATGAAGTAAATTTTTGCAAACTTCATATCGTTGGCACAGTCTCATTAAATTGGCTACTAAATTATTGTACTCCCAATTTCTGTGCCCAATTCCATGGCATGTACTCTGGAAATGGTCTCTGAAATTCTAGCTTCATATCTTTGTCTTATACTTGTAATTTGTTTTGGACTGTTGGCTTTTTGGAGGCTCTGTCACATCTTCCTGGAGCTGCGTTAGCTTCTACGAGCTTTCTGATTTTGTATGAATGAGGTTATTATTAGCTCTGTCTGATGAGCACTAATTTTACCAAAGCCACCTGGAGATGGGATAAACTTATGTTTGCATTTTATGCCTTGTCTGATTGTATGTTCTACTGACATCAATGGAGCATAAAATCTGAGGAGGGCATTAAATAGGTTTCCAATCCACGTTAAGTTACATTCAGAGGTATAGAATTCAACTGGCCAGTGCAGGTAAAATTTACATTAACTGTGATGGAACAAAAATGTTATATAAAATCCAAATAAAGATAAAATCCAAATCAGGAAGGTAATCATGGAATAAATATACATTAGCTAATACTTTGAACTGAGAAACTCTATTTTACTTGTGATAAATATTGAGATTCAAACATCAAAATTAGAGCAAAATGCAACACGATACAGAAATTATAGTCTCAAAACCAGCACACGTAACGAGAAGATGCTGATCAGAAGCTGGGAGCTATCCAAAAGAAATAAACAAACATACTGAAGGTTTCTGTTAAATATTCAGAGTGGCCATGTTAAGAACACTAATCGCCTGGAATTGTATTTTTGTGCAGAGAATGGAATAAAATGTATCACCACAGAAACCCATTTTTTGTGATGTAGTGGTTATCACAGTTGTTCAATCATGAAAGGTCCTCAACTGGAAACCAGCAGAAATGTTATTAAAGCTCAGGCTTCAGTGGATGCATTGCTGGTTCTTGTAGCGCAGTGGTATGTCCCTATTTCTAAGCCAGAAGGCCTAGGCTCAAGTCCCACCTCCTTCAGAGGTGGGTCTTAACACATCTGAGCAGGTGGATTTAAAATATCCATCACTAAAAATAAACTAATGTTTAATTTCATCACAAGTATGAAAGAAAACCTTATTCACAGTCTCAAATAATGAGACACGAGTTGATCAACTTGACAAGTGTACCCCTCCTTATCTGTTCTATTGGACATGAGTTAAGTAACAACTGGGTGATCAAAATTATAAATTGTGTGAAACCCGATGGCCAGCTAACAAGAACTGACTGGTATTAGGAAATTCTTAGATCATTGATCAGTTTTACTAGGGATCTATTTTAGACATTATTTTGCAACAAAACAGCAGAAGCACCCAGGTAAGTTCTTAATTCACTAAGCTTAGCAGTGTCAAATATTTGCCCATTATAGAAATTAGTGACAGTCGATTGGCTTCTTTAAGAATGCTAGTTTAGCATGTGGACAACAATTTCCAAATTGATGCCAACAGTTTGCTGACAATTGCCTGAAAAAGATTATAAATATTGTTTTCCTACCGGAGAAGGTCCTTTTAAATTGACAGGTGTTTTAAAGTCACCTTGCAAGACCTGTGTAAAATATGAAGAACACAAATTGTATTAGCACCTGAACTGAACTCACTCAAGGCTGATAGCATTTTCTATTCTTCTAGAATTCAGACTGGAAAGAAATATCCAGAGCCAGACATACTAAGGCCACAGAACAAATGATTCCTTCCACTTAATGTTAAAAATCGAAGTTGAGGATCTAACACACGTTCGATGTACCCAGCATCAAATTTGTTTACTATATCAATAGATACATAGCACATCACAAAAGGGATGGTGGCAATCTGAAACTGAAGGGAAACATAAACAAATCTTCTTTGCAGTACTTAAGCCATTCTCCCATTCATTTTTGAGCCACAAAACACTAGTTTATCCAGGTCAGCGGAGTCCCATCTAGAACACTTGAGAAGCCTCAATCAATCTAGCGTTCTTCTTCTATTCTTGCATTGATATTAGGAGGGGATACCAAACTTGTTGAAAACTATAGTTGATTTGGAGGACAGTAGTTAAATTTGGTGTTCTTTTATTCTGTTTATTTACATCTTTCAGTTGCAGGCCATCCTGAGCTGTTTTTTTTTTAAAACCTGCAGCCCAAAATGGCACCATTGCCTCAGGGCAAACAGATTCTGATGTGAGCAGCCAAAAAGGCATTAGACCTTTTTCATATGAGGCCTAAGGTCTGTTTTAGGTATGGGTATGGGATGCCATTTGTTGGTCCTACTCAATACGGAGCTCAGAACAATACCAGCATAACACGTGTCAATGTTTTCTGACCACCCTACTGGTCCTTTAGTAGTCCAAGTAGCTCCATGTATAGATCAATTCCTGAATGCTGATCTTTCCCACAAATAGAAATGATCACCCATTTGTGATCTGTTCCAGAGAGGTGGGAGGTATGTACATACCTGGGGCATAAAATTAATCTCTCAAGAAGAGAAAGAGGGGAAAAAGAAAACACAAATCATGCATTCTTAAACTTTATTCAGTGATTCTTGCACAAGCAAATGATATGCGAGTACAGAATTAAGCTGGGCTCTCATGTCCTCCAGACTTCGAATCTCTCATGTGAAGAGCAACTACTTATACACTGAAATGATACTCTTTGCAACACTCATGAACTTCATGACAGAAGTTGCAAAATAGGAGAATCATCTCCTTAAGAGCTTGATGGAGGAGGGGAAAGATGAGAAATATGCAGATCAAATGGAGGAACAATTAATTACCTACCAGTCTCATACATTCCTTTGTAGTTGCCTGAACAGCAGCAATATCAGACTTGCATGCATGTTTCCAGGGTGGTGGGAGGGGGAAATGTTAGGAAGCTACACAAATTATTTGTAATAAAACATTTCTCACATACCCTTTTGGTGTTATTTACAACAAGTGCATCAGGATTCCCATAATTTGGTGGGTTGGCATTGGGATCATATCCCAGCTTGGCCAACATAGGTGCTATCCGCGCCATGTCTTCAACCACACTATTTGGAATATGTCCCACCCATTTGGTCAAGGCCTCGAGATTAACTGGCTTGATAACCTGGTCAGTGGATCGTTCAATTCTGTGAAGGGAGAAAAATGTAGAGAGCTTTTAAAAGTACCAAATTTATGATTAAATTAGTCTACTACTAATTTCTAGTTAGCAACCTAAATCATGTAGACCTTGGATAGAGTTGGACGTTTCAAAAGAATACTCCAGGCTTTAACTTTAGTTTTCCTATATCGCTTGCAAAGTCCTTGTAACAAAAGAGTAGATTGCTGATGGCAGCAGTTGTTTTACAAAATATCAATATTCCCCTCATTAATCCTATTTGTTAAGTATCAGGGTAATTAGATACATGTTTTCATACCTTACTGGCCAATACTGTGCTATCCGCACATTGCAGGTCATAAATCACAAATCCAATTATATCCACTCTTCATTTTGAAAGCCAAAATGGGAAAAAGTGAGATCACAATTAAATACAACCATTACAGTAGAGATCAGTACTTAGCAATACAAAATTTGGGCAATGCCCCATGTTATTACCCTGCAAATGCTGCTGGCTGATGAAAGCCAATTACTTGGTCTGAAAGGGGGAAGAAATTAAAAAAAAAACATTAGGACACCCATGAAACAAAGCATCTATTAGAGCAAGACTTTTTGTCTTAAAAAAAAAAAAATTCACTGATGGGCTGGTGCTACATGGTGGACAAGCCAGCTAATCTGTTAAATGGTTCACTTCAATAGAAATTAGTTTGAAAAAAAAAAATAAGGCCAGAATTTAAACTTGTAATTCAAGTAGAAAACAGAAGTTGTGGTTCAGCTGCCTAGTACAGATACCTCCTGATTTTAAAATTTCCACCAATTTCAAAAGAAATTCAAATCAGATGTTTTCTATCTTGAGGGCCGAGGTGGCATGTTGAATATTGACCCTATAACAATGTGGGCTGCATATACAGGACTAATATCATTCTTTAAGATGATTCTTAAAACCTACCTCTTTGATCAAGCAGTTAGTCATCTATCTGGACATGTGTCCAGTCTTGTTCTTCCATCACATGTTGTCTGATTTCCTGGTCTAGTTTCACCTCAACATCAAAATTCATCCGATTTTAAATTGCCTTGACCCTCCATATTTCTAAATTCCTTGAATCCTACCATCTGCCAAATCTCCATATACCTTTTTTTGTCAGTAAACATTCCCTGCAAGATATGCAGGTGCAAGATCACATGGCAATCTAGAACTTTAATACAGGACAAACAAGCTGCACATACGAATTAGTCCCTTCAAGATATGCACATGTGCAAGTGTGTAGCAACCTTAAAAACGGACTATGTGGTGCAACAAATGGGCAGTATACACAAAAAGGGGAAGTAGAGGTAACACTGACTTGTCATCAACTGGCTCGACCTCAAGCAACAGAATTTGGTCCTTAAAACTCTGCCTCATTTAGAGGCTTCTTAAAACCAGTCTTGTTGACCAAGCTAATGGTCAACTGTTCTAATATTTCCTGATTAGGTTCAGTGTCAAAATTTTGTTGGCTAATTGTTCCTCTGAAGTACATGGGGATGTTATACTACATGATTACAGAATTTAAGAGCTACCATTTCTCAGCATTATACTGCTTTAATAAAGATGTATCAAAAATAAAAGCAGCCTGAAAGGTTAGAAGGTTCAATTCTGTCCCAAGGTGACATTGGGGATGTTATGATAGACCCAAGAACCCTCAGCTGGGAAAAAGTTGGCAAGTTGCTGACTGCTTTGTAATAACCTCCTGTTAGCAAGTGGTATCAGCGAACATTGGGTGAGTACAGCTTCAGCATGGATGTCAAACCAGCTCCCCATTACTACTGCACATGAACTGTAGCAAGCCAAGACCCTTGTAGAAGTTATAAGAGCAAAATGTTGAGAAACTCAGGTCTGGTAGAATCAGTGTAGAGAAAAACAGGGATTTAACATTAGAAGTCCAATATGGTTTTTTCTTTGGAACTCCAGAGTCTAACTCTGTTTCTCTCTCTACTGATGTTGCCAGACCTGCGGAGATTCTCCAGAACATTGTTTTTATTTCAGATTTGCTTTTATTTCCTGTAACAGTTAATCTCTTCAAGAAGGAAGTGGGAAAAGCAAAGAGAAAAAAAGCACAAACACACTTTGAAAGCGAGACTCCTCCTGATTTTCCTATTAGTTCTTCATGATGCAAAACAGCATCATTCCATGGAATATTCAGAAATGTCATGATCTCTTCCATAGTTTTTCTGGGATGCAATACTAGCTGCTCATAATAAACAGAGAGGCACCTGGAGGGTCCCACCTCCATACACTGTCCATACATAATTTCAATAGCTTTATTCCATTTGATTATACAATCCCTGTAGCTGTTAAGGTCAAATCCAGCAATCGTCACTTTTCTTGTAATCATGGAATGCACCGATGCCCGGCCATCTCGTATCATCAGAATAAATTTAGATTGTGAAAACAGTTTGGACAGATAATTTAAAGACTTTAAGGTGAAAGGGTCCTTATTGCACAAGTATTTTGCTGGTTCACCATGTTTTGCAATTACTTCTAAAATAAATGCTTGCAATGCCGCGTCTAGGACATGGTCTGTCACTCCTGCCTCATTCAAGCGCATCTTTTCACGTTCTGATTTAGACCACACCTGACGCATGGCCAGCACACGTGGAATGATCCGAGTTTCTTCACCGCAGCGTATTTCTGGATGTGCATCCATCATGGCTCTCATTAATGTTGTCCCACTTCGGGGCACTCCACCTATGAAGATTAGAGGCATATTTTTACTGTAGCGATATTCAATGTTTTTTGAGTTATACATGACCAATTCATCCTTTTCTGGTTTCATCATACTATGCGTTCGTCTGCCATTGAACCAGCCCCCATTCTGATTCAATATTTGCTGGCATTCCCACATGTGCTGGCCCATGTGAAACACCATCATAGTAGCAACAGCACAGCAAGTAAGTAGAACGATTCTTCTCGTGCTGATGCGCATATTGGATAGTTTCACTCCTGTACAGGTTTGTACGGCTTTTCAGCTTCAATGTTCAGGTTCTCTCATTTTAATAAGGTTTCATTGCAGCTCTGTAACAAGAAAGAATAAATGAGAACACAATCCTCTACAATTCTAGAATTGCCAACAAGCACCTTTAATGTATCCGAGAAGAGACATGATACCAAACCTTTACAACTTGCACTCATTGGAAGAAATACAAGAGTGCCTAGTTTTAAACCATCACAATAAAATTATATCTCAGGACCTTCACAAAAATGAGAAGCGACATGTATTCATAAGAACATAAGAGATAAGAACAGAAGTAGGCCATTCAGTCCCTCAAGCCTGCCCCACTATTTGATAAGATCATGACAGTTCAACCTCAGGCCTCAACTTCTTGATACTTCAAAAATCTATTTACCTCGTCTTTAATACTTTCAGTGATCTAGTCCCAGCAAACTCTACAGGGTACAGAATTCCAGACATTCAGTACTCTCCAGAAGATATTCCTTTGCATCTTAGTTTTGAATGATAATGTCCACATTTGAAATGATCCCCACTCATGGAAACGTCTTCTCAGCACTTACCTTGTCAAGCCTCTTTAGAATCTTACATGTTTCAATAAGATTATCCCACAGTCTTTTAAACTTTAATTAGCCATTAGCCAGTTTAGCCATTCTTGATTAGCCAACACCTTCATCCCAAGGAGAGGCCTAGATGAACTGTTTTGCTATTCAACTTGAATGTTTCATTTACTGGTATTGTTCCTTGCATTAATACTGAGGTTGAGCATGAAAGCTTCTCATGGATGTTCTTGGAGTGAAGACAGCAAAGAAGCATAGATCATAAGGTTCAGGATGATGATGGAGAATGACATTTGTCAATCCAGAGTAAGTAAAATCAATTGGTGTATCGCTGTCTTCATGGGGCAAGAACGCATAGACTGAATAAGGAGATTCTTGGGGAAAATCTCAACGAACAATGCACTACCTTCAAAAAGAGATTGGTTTAGGTATAGCTGTGGCATATCCCCTGAATGGGAACTAGGATAAACAAATCCAGAGCACCCTTGACATCAAAAGAGACAGACATTAAGACAAAGAAAAAAAAAACAAAATTCTTATGACAGGTGTGTGGCAGATAATGCAATCAAGAACCAAGAGGAAGTTCAGATGCGAGGTGAAAAAGCAAGTAAGAGAAGTAAATATAAATAAGAAAAGACGGACAATCAACATAAATGGGTGTCTCAAAGTCTTCTACAGGTATACAAGAACTTCAGAACATAATTAGGAGCAGAAATGGGTAATTTAGCCCCTTGAGCCTGTTCTGCCATTCGATACAATCACGGCTGATCTCATCTCGGCCTCAATTCCACCTTGCTGCACATTCCCCACAACCTTTTAACCTGTTACTAATTAAAAATCTGTCTATCGTCTCCTTAAATTTATTCAGTGTCCCAGCATCTGGCACACTCTGGGGTAGTGAATCCCACAGATCCCAACCCTTCGAGAGAAGTAATGTCTCACTGGTTTCAAACCTGCCACTCCTTAGCCTAAATCTATGAATGCTCATTCCAAATTGCTCCACAAGAAGCAGCATCTGTTTTACATTGACTTTATCAATTCACTTTAGGCTGTTTTATACCCCAATTAGATCTCCTCTCATCCTCCTAAACTCTAGTGTATGAGCAGTTTAGGCATACAATCTCTCAAATGTAAATGGTGGTGATAAAAAAAAACCTCAGTTGCTAGACAGGTTCAAAATTGATGAGAAAATAGTTTTTTTTGTCTTTATTCATTCATGGGATGAGAGCATCGCTGGCCAGGCAGCATTTAATGCCCATCCCTAATTGCTCGGGGGTGCAGTTCAGAGTCAACCACATTGCTGTGGGTCTGGAGTCACAGGTAAGGATGTCAGTTTCCTTTCCTAAAGGACATTTGTGAACTAGATGGGTTTTCCTGACAATCGACAATGGATTCAGTCATCATTAGACTCTTAATTCCAGATATTTATTGAATTCAAATTCCATCATCTGCTGTGGTGGGATTTGAACCCAGGTCTCCAAAACATTATCTGGGTTTCTGGATTAACAGTCCAGCAATAATACCACTAGGCCATCATCTCCCCTTGTGTCAGATAGACTGTTGATACACAAGCTTGACAAGGCACTAAACAGAATCTTTCAGGTCTTCACCAGACTCAGGAGAAAGTGCTAAACTATAGGAGAATTGCATATGTTACAGTGTTGTTCAAGAAAGCCTAGGACCTGCAGACCTGAGTCTGACTTTGGTGGTGAATAAGTTGTTGGAGGTGATTCTGAAAGATAGGATCTAAATACATTTGAAGAGATATGGTAGCGTTTTAGAACAGAAAGATGTAGGGGTTTGGTACATAATTCTTTGAAATTTGCATCACATGTTGACAGGGTGGTTAAGAAGGCATTTAGCATGCTTGCCTTCGTTACTCAAGCTTTTGAGTATAGGAGTTGGGACGTTATGTTGAGTTTGTCCAGGACATTGATGAGGCCTGTTCTGGAATAATGTGTCCAGTTGTGGTCACCCTGTTATAGGAAGGATACTACTAAACTGGAGAGAGAGTTCAGAAAAAGTTTACCACGATGTTGCCAGGAATGGAAGATTTAAGTTATAGGGAAGAGACTGGATAGGCTGGGACTTTTTTCACTGGAGCGTAGGAAGTTGAGTGGGTGGCCTTACAGGGGTTTATAAATTTAGGAGGGGTATAGATAAGGTGAATGGCAGATGTCTTTTCCCTAGGGTGAGTAATCGCAAGACTATTTTTTTTTTTAAGGCGAGAGAAGGAAAACTTAATAAAAAGAGAACATGACGGGCAAGTTTTTTTTAAAAAGAAAAGAAGCCTAGTGGTTCATGTGTGGAATGAACTTCCAGAGGAAATGATGGATGCAGGAACAGTTACAACATTTAAAAGACATATGGATGAGTAAATGAATAAGAAATGTTTGGAGGGATATGAGCCAAGTGCAGGCAGATAGGACTAGGTTAGCTTGGGATTATGGTCAGCATGGACCGTTTGGACCGAAGGGTCTCTTTCCGTACTGTATGACTATGACGCTATAGAGATTGTAAGAATAAGCGCAACAATCACAGACCAGTCAGTTTAACTTCAGGGATGGCAAAGCTTCTGGAACAATTATTCAGGACACAATTAGTCATCACATGAAAAGGAACTGACTAATTCCCTCTGAAGGGGAAAAATCATGTTGTCTAACTTGGAGGGGTTTTTTGTGGTGGTAATAGAAAGGCTCTAAGAGGGAGAAGACTGTTGATATGATCTACATGGGCTTTCAAAAAGTAAAAAAAAAAGTGTTTGATACTGTGCCCCACAGACTTGAGGAAAATAACAGGCCCACGAGTTCTCTCAATTTAGGTCTTGTGGGACTTTTGCTGTCTCCAGTCCGCATCCCAGGAGCAACTGCAATGGCTTGCCGGCTTGAATCCTGAAAAAAATTTTAACTGCTTGGCTGGGGCTTGGCTTGGTTTTGGGGTTTTGCTGTGGGCTGACCAAGAGTCCCTTTGTTCAGGATTATGTCCTGAGTGAAGCAATTCAATTGCCTTGACTCAAGCGGTGTTCCTCAAGCTCAGTCAGATTGACAAGGGTATCACTTCCATCGGAATACCCTGCAATTCATATGCTCTACTTGCTGTGTTCTCCAATGGTAAAGCCAGATGTAGTGCCTTTTTGAAGGCCAGTTGGGCTTCAGCTACTAGGCGCTTTTGCATGGTTACATCATTAAGTTCAGATACCAAATCCAATCTCTCAGCGTCTCATTAAGGGTCAATCCAAAGTTACAATGCCTCTGCCAGTCATCCCAACCTAGTCAAAAATCCTGATGTGGATTCCCCGGTTCTCCAACAGCCAAGTAAAACCCAACTGCATTTCAGATTTAGAGGAGGCTTAGGTTCGTAATATTCTTTACAAAAATCAATCTCTTGACAATGTTTTGTACCTGGTGCCTCAGGGAAAGTTAGGCTCCTAATAACTGAAAAAAGCTACAGGTCCACAATCTCTCAGGAGAGTTACTCATTGTTTTTCACCTGCCCCAATATCATTTCACCAGAAAAAAAAACCCATTCTTTCTGCATACTGGGCAGGATCAAACAAGCCAAGCTTCCCAAATGGCATAATGCCAGAAATGCTTACCCCGACTCAAAGACGACTATTGTGAGCAAATTTCTTCAGGAGTGTACTTTGATTGATTGATTGGATTGATTTATTGTCATGTGTACTGAAGTACAGTGAAAAGGTTTGTTTACAAGCAATACAGACAGATCATAGTAAGCAAAGAGGTACAGATCAAAAAGACTTAAGAGGCATGCAGGTTACATTATGCAGCGCATGCAGTCGGCAAGATCAACATTATGAGCCTAGAGAAATCATTCATCAGTCTAATAATGGCCAGGAAGAAGTTGTTCCTGAACCTGGTGGTGCATGTTCAGGCCTCTATCTTCTGCCTAAAATGGAAGAGGTTGTAGGAGATCATTACTAGAGTGGGATGGGTCTTTGCCAATGTTGGTGGCCTTTCCATAGCAGCGAGCTACGTAAATCAAGTCCATGGATAAAAGGTTGGCTTCCGTGATGGTTTGCGCTGTGCACACCACCTTTACTCTCATTGCCACTGAAGTAACTCCAGAGGTCAGTATCCAATCACCATGTCACCCTTTATTTACACCCTGTAGAGTCCTTAATACTGATCCAGCTCCCTCAGAGCCAATTCTAAAAGCACCAGGATGTCTGACACTCCTGTTTTGACCTGTCAGCCAGAGCTCCTGGAGTGAACCAGATTAGATTAACAGTCCCAATCAGGGAACTCACTATGAGGTCCACCTGGCTGACCTCATTACAATCACTACTGCACCAATGAAAGAGGGTATTTCTAGGATTCCTGTGACTGACTGGTTTTTAAATCATAAGTGCCTACCAAATTTTGGCAGTATGGTTGCTCCACTGACTGATTTGAAGGAGTGCAGAAAATTTCAGTGGAAGGAGGAATGTCAGAAGGCAATTAACAGTCTGAAAGCTGTTAACCACTGCCCCAGTCTTAGCCATACCT